ATGTGGGAAGTGTGGAGAGGCAGGATCAGCTGATTGTTCTTAGGCTGCTCTGTGGATCTATCAGGTTTTTACCCCAATATCTGACTCCTGGGTATTTGTTTATTTATTATTAATAATAGAACAACATAGGAAAATACTTCAATGGACCAAGCTGGTCTCGAACTTGTAGCAGTCCCCCTACCTTGGCCTCCTGAATGCTGGGATTACAGAAGGGTACCAACCACCACTCCCAGCCTTCAGGTTAATTTGCAGAGTTGAATCATTTATCTTATATTTTCCTAAATCCTACTAATTTCCACTATATCAAAATGAATGCCAATCCTCAGTTGCTGAGAAATGCAAGGTGAGAGGGTGTCTGAGATACTCCAGGGCCTGTCTCTGTGCTGGACCCTCAGGTGAAGGAGGCGGCCATTGCCTTCTCTGTGCTGAACCCTCAGGAAGCAGAGGCATATGGGAAGAAACTCTTGGGCCAGCCCTGCCAGAATCACCCAGAAAAAGGTGTTTTGTCTTCCTGAGATCGACGGCCCCGACACAGAAAACTGTCCAGCTGCCTGCACTTGGTGGGAAACCCCCTAACCCTCCAGAACGCCCCTGGCCCCTCCCTTCTTGCCTTGGCTCTGTGTCCTTCTTTGCTGAGGGTCCCATTTGTCAGAGAAGAAGGGAATGACATCAGGCAGTTCTGAGTCAGACAAAACAAAAATAAGTGGACAACCTTCTCAGGGAAAAGCAATGTAGTTTTTTTTTTTTTTTTTTTCCTGCCACTCCTGGCTTATTAGGCAGAGCCCAGTAAGTCAGGGGAGGATGGCCAGGATTTCAAAATACAGAAAAGGGAATAGCCGTGGGAGGGGAATGGGCAGCGAAGCCCGGGATGGGCAGGCTGGGTGGTGCTCCCACTCCCCTGCAGGTGGGAAAGGCGGAAGCCCAGCAGCCCCCGCAGGCTGAGTCTGCAGGGTGCGGGAGCACACCATGCGGATGCAATCAGGGCATTAGGCCAAATTGGCCATGACCAAAAAAAGTCAGGAAAGGTGACCAAGGCAGAGCGAGCAAAGCTCCAGGCCGTATAAAGGATAATAACTGGACGCAGGTAATGATAAACACAAACAGAATGTTGTCTGTATGCTGTATGTTGTCTGGGACCCTCAGGATCCAGCAGCAAGTAAGGCACAGCCCTTGACTTTGTGGTGCTTCTGCTCTGGCCCTAGAGTCTAGGACAGTGGTTCTCAAGGAGTTGAGACCCCCCCACCTCGTCTGCATATCAGATATCCTGCATACCTGATATTTACATTACAATGCGTAACAGTAGCAACATTAGTAACAATGAAATAATTTTATGGTTGGGGCGGTCACCACAACGTGACCTGTATATTAAAGGGTGGCAGTGTTGTGAAGGCTGAGAACCGATGGCCAGGCAGGTTGCATGCATCATCTGTTACCAGCCTGCCGTCATCTCCATGCAGCTGATGAGACTGGGCCATGACACCATGACACCGTGGTTGACTCTCCCACACTGTGTTTGAACTCAGGCCGGACTCGGGGGCGGGGCTTGCTCCGAACCGACCTAATGTAAAGTTGTACCTCCCTCCCCTTGGACAGGAGCAGCTCCGCCTCAGCAGTTGAAAGGGATGACCACAGCGGGGAATCCGGGGCATGGCTGTGTCCCAGAGCACTCTTCCTACATCATCCTCGCCATGGACCATCCCTCCCAAAGCCGAGGAGCTCTGTCCCCTACTCTTTGCATTCTACATATATCCTCACTGGGGAGTCTTAGCTGCTTCAACTGACTAGATCACTGCTTGCCCGGAAGTCCCTTACAGGTCTAGCCCCCTGTAAAAGAGTGGATGGGGTGGGGCCGTTAAAATTCGGGGGTGGGGATTGGTCGAATGCTTGCCTAGTCTGCAGGTGCCCGGGTTAGTAAACCATGTGTGGTGGTACATGCATAGTCCTAGCACTAGGGAGACAGGAAGGAAGACTAAGCAAATTCTAGGCTATAAAGTGAGCTAGAGGCCAGCCTGCCTTACACCAGCCCCTGTTCTGTACCACCACCCCAAAATCAAAACGTTCAGGCGGGTGTGGTAGTTGGGCCTGCAACTTCAGCACTCCAGAAGGTAAGATAAGACAGAAAAGGTGTGCTTGGGAGATCAGCCTGGGCTGCATGATACGACTCTATCTTGAAAACCAACTTTTTTTTTTTTTTTTTTAATTTGAAAGGGGTTTGGGTGACTTGACCTCTGCAATTTCTTTTTGTTCCAGAGTCTTGTGACTACTGGGAAAATTTATTTCATTAGGGCCCACTGTGTCTACCAAGCGCATCTTCCAGATACGAGGCATGGCAAACAATGAGAAAGGCAAACACCCCAGCCAGGAAGCGTTCTCACAGACCTCAGGTGGGGCTGACTGAATGAGACCGTGCTGTTTGTGACTCAGATTTCCTCAACATGCTTTGGGGGTTGGTCCTTGGCCGGGGGAGAGTCTTCGGGGGTCACTGGGGAGCCAGGTAGTCCAGGCAGCAGGCTTTCTCCTCTGAGGTCTGGGAGAGTCAGAAGTTTAACGTCATCCTCAGTTGTTGTATGGTACATTCAAGTCCAGCCTGGGATTTGGGAGACACTGCCTCGGGAGGAGGAGGAGGAGGAGGAAGAGGAGGAGGAGGAGGAAGAGAAGAAGAAGAAGAAGAAGAAGAAGAAGAAGAAGAAGAAGAAGAAGAAGAAGAAGAAGAAGAAGAAGAAGAAGAAGAAGAAGAAGAAGAAGAAGAAGAAGAAGAAGAAGAAGAAGAAGAAGAAGAAGAAGAAGAAGAAAAAGAAGTCTGAGAGAGTCTGAGGCCATCAGAGGTGGGAGACAGTGAGCCCCACTTTCCACTGGAGCCCCAGACTCAAAGCCAGGAGGGCAGGGACAGTTCAGGGGGCACAGGGGACTCCGTGTTAGTCTGCCCTGAACAAGGGAAGAGGGGTGACTGAGGCAGGATTCTCGCTTTTCACCTGGACCCGGCTCACCTTGCCAGTGGCTGGCTGACCAGCCAGCCTTTCTGTGGTGACCTTTGCTGACTGAAGGGTGCAGCATGTCTGGAGCCAGCGCAGCCTGACTGATAAGCCTTCTCAACTCATTAAATTACACAGGAGAAACGGAGGTGGGAACTTCATGGCACGAACCCCTCCCCTCCGCTGGGGAACCTGCCTTCCTGGGTTTCACTTTTCAAAGGCTGAAATAGATCTGGAGATTTTGTGCATAATTAAAGGAGACTGTCACTTCAAGTCTTTCCAAAACCTCTTGGTTCAGTGCTCTTCAGGGCGAGTGCAGAGCTAGTCGCCACCTGGCATGAAAAGTGCGAACTTGGGATCTTGGGTCACTTCTAGACATCACAGTCAGAACAAAGAGAACTCATTTCAGAGGCCCCTCACCTGTGCCCCTCCCACCGGTAACTGAGAACCTGTGCATTGACTCCTGGGTATTAAAGAGTGTGGCGCACAAGGTGACCTGCCACGCAGGAGACCAGGTGCCAGTGCCAGCCTGCGGGGCAGGTTATCTTATCAGCCAGCTTGATAGAACTCATGAAAGTCGGGCCATAAGGAACAAATATTTGTAAGCCTGCCACCTTTCAGTCCACAGCGGATTGAACACAGAATGTGAGCAAGGGCAGAGGTGGTCGGAACAGCCCACTGGACTCTGCCCACCTCCTTAATAACTCCCTGACTGGGGCTGGAGCGATGGCTCAGCGGTTAAGACTGCTCTTCCAGAGGACCCGGTTCAATTCCCAGCACCCACATGACAGCTCACAACTGTCTGTAACTCCAGTTCCAGGGGATCTGACACCTTCACACCAACCCACATAAAATAGAGTTAAATAAATTTAAAAAAAAAAAAAAAAAGAACACTCCTGGACTCCTTCCACATCCTTAAGAACATGTGTAGCTTGGCTTGGAGGCTCAGCCCTGTGATCCTTGCTACTCAGGAGGCTGAGGCAGGAGGATCACAAAGTTAAGGTCTGCCTGGGCTACAGAGTGAGTTCAAGGCCAACCTGGGCAACTCAGCAAGACCCTGCCTCAAAATATAAGATGAAAGCTGGGGATATAATTTGGTGTTAGAGTACTTGCCTAGCATCCAAGAGGAGCTCAGGTTTACACTCCAGCGCCTGGCAAAACAGAGGCCGAGGTACAGATCAGTTGGTAGCATGCTTGCCTGATACCGTTGAAACTCTGGGTTCCATCCCCAACGCTGCCTAAAAGCAGATCCGCTTGTGCATACAGGAGGAGCAGAACTGGAAAGCAATCCCCAGCTACACGGCGGCAAGTTCAAGGCCAGTCTGGGCTACCTATGTGAGACCTAGCCTCAAAACAACAAAAGCAAGCCCAGTCTTCACAACTGCTAGTTGACCCGGTTAGGAGGCACCTCACCTCCTGAAGCCTGTCTTTGCCCAAAGGAGGGAGCTGTTTTGTTGAAGACTGGGGATCAAAGAGGCTAAGGGAGCTGCCTCTTTGTTTGGCTGGGAAAAGGCCCCTAAGCTGCAGTTCAGATTCCACAATGTGTGTGCTCTCCGTAGGCCAACGGTGACCTTTACTAGCTTTCACCGGACTCTCCCTTCAATATGCAGCTCTCCAGAGGCCCCCTGCTTTGATGCCCAAAATTCTAGGCTCAAGCCCTGCCCTCTTAAAAGATGAGACAGGTCAGTGTCTTACAGAGTGATCCAGTAAGTTGGGGGGGGGGGGAGGTGTTATGAGATAGCCTTTGCCCCCAAATATTTGCATGGTAGGGGCTATTTTGTGTGGCTTGAAAGTCATTCCTCGGTATCCCCAAGTCTTTCTGTCCATACACACTCATTTGGAGAGGTGATTAATGCCACGAATGTGAGACCCTCCACGGCAAAGGCGGCTTGGTGGTGGCTCCTTTCACACGTAGAGGAGCCTGGAGGAAGCTGCCTCCTTTCCAGGAGCCTGGGAAGGGTCACCCTAGGTTCTTTGGGGTTCCTCTTTTGCTTCTCAAGCAGTCTCCTGAGATGCAAAGCCGTCAAGACTGCTTCATGAAAAGGCGGATGCCCTGGAAGCCGTTTCTGCTCCACTGAGGGGAAAGAGTGGCCGAGATCAGGAAGCAGCTTGCGCAGGACCTGGAGGTGAGTGGAGCACTCCCACTCCACCATGGGCAGTGCAGCGTGACCAGCCGGGTGGGCGACAGGACAAGATGGGAGACTGTGGAGATAGCGGGAACCAGATCCCAGAAAGCCCAGGGAAGCCCCTGCTTGCTGGGTGCTTGGGAGCCAGCGTGGTGTGAGCAGGGAGTGGCCTGACACTGTGTGTGTTTGAAAATGTTCCCTGGAGCAGATGTGGAGAATGGATGGGAGCAAGCGGTAGGGAGAGAGGAAGGGTAGGAGAGAAGCCTCCCACCAGCCTTCCTCAGACCCGGGTCCAGCTCTTAGTGAGCCCTGGGTCCGCGAGAGTGCTGAAATGGCTGGAGATGTCTATCTGCACCTGGGGCGCTGTGTGTGTGTGTGTGGGGGGGGGTGCTGGCATGGTGCGTCTCTCTTAAGAACAATGCGAGGAGGAACTCTGTTTTACAGGTGAGCAGACTAGGCTCAGAGAGGCCAGGTGTCCTGCTCTGGGTCACGCTGCCGGCAGTGGTAGAGGTGTCCCGGGATTCTAAGAGTTTCTGTTTCATTCCGGGTTGCTCTGCCCCGCCCCAGGTGGTGCTCATCTCAGGGCCTGGCCCATCAGCAGCACCATCATGCTGGTCAGCCGACTGATGGCCCCGAGGAGAAGGGAGCAGCCAAAGCTGGGCTGCAGGTGCATGTTTGGGGATCCCCTCTAAGAGAACTATGGAAGAGTCTGGAGAGGGTGGGGGGCTTGGCATGTCACCTTTGCCTCGGAAGTGGAGCCAGGTCTCAGCTCTGGTACTAGTGACTGCCCGCCCCCCTCCAGCCTCTTCATATGTGGAAGGGTCTCTCTGGAGTCTTGGGCTCCCAGAGCCATTTGCCAATCCCAGGGGAGTCAAGGAGTCACAGTTTCCTAAAGTAGAGACATGCACTACCTGTACCACCCTTGCACTTTCCGGAAGGGACGCTGGGTCTGGTGTCTGGGTAAGGAAGCGCTGGAGAGCACCCCAAAGCGTCTGGAGGAGAGGCAGTGTTCACTGAGGGCTGGGGTGGAGATGGACAGATTGTCTTCCCAAAGATCCTGGGATGGAACAGTGATACCCAGCCACTCCCAGGCCGCTGAGGTGCCGGGAAGCACCCCTGGAGAGCTCCTGGCGCTTCCTGCACCCCAGATAGCTGTTGGGTTCCTTGGCCTTTTCTAGACCAGGTCCCCAGCCTTCTCTCAGGCCCTCCATTCTTGCAGGACTGCTCTGAGCCTGGCTCGGTCGCAGGCTGCCCTTTGAGCCATGCACAGCGTGGAGCACATCTGCACCCTGCCCTGCCCCACCCCCACCCCAAGGGCCTCTCGCCGGCTAGGTTGTTCTGTCAGTGGGAAGACAGGCCTGGCTGACACCTGCAGTAGGGCACGCTGATTAATTTATTCTGCATCCTTTCACATTACCTGGCTCCAGGGCCTCCAGCTTGACATGCAGATTTATGTAAAAGAGACCCAACATGCAAATGAGCCAGGCCCAACACTTGTTTTAGTAACAGGCAGGGCTGCTTCACTGGTTCCCCTGCCTAGCAGTTCTTCCCAAGGCCCAAGGTTCTCCACACAGCAGCAGGCCTTGGGGAACCTTTTCAACCCTGCGATGTCTCCAGCTTGGGCCCAGGGCCCAGGCCTAGGAGTACACAGCTGGGGTGGAAATGGGCCAGGCATTCTCCCTCTCCAAAGGAAGGTTCCTGGTTCAGTTGCTTGTGGAGGGCATGAAGACCGAGAGATTGACGTAAGGGCACCCATGGGAGAGACTTGCAGGGCTCTACACAAAATCAGTACCCAAGTGGAACCGTGAGACGGGGCAAAGCTCAGAGCCGGAAAAAGTGAAAAGCAAAGGGAGGCAGAGATCACAGGGGGCCATGGAAGGAGATGGGGACACAGGGTGGGGGATGCTGATGGAGGGGGTGTAGACCAAGAAAGGAACAGATTTCAGAGTCGACGTGCTGCGGAGGAAGAGTGAGGATATAGCAACAGCCTGGCTGTAGGGAGGAGCTGGCGAGGATGACAGCTTGATGCTGGGGAGCTGGGAAGGAGTTACAGGAGAAAGGGACAAACCAAATCTGCCTGGAGAGACACCCAAGCTCCCCACGGGGAGGAAGGCAGGGCCTAGCTGCTACGGCGCCCACCTCATGCATCGTTTTGTGTGTGTCCACCTAGCCTGTACAATCTATGGAACCTCCGTGCGTGCGTACAAACCACACAGGGACATGCCCGGTAGAAAAAAAGCACCCTAGACCTCTCCGGCTCTGAGAGCAGACCTACCTAGTGTCTACACCTGCAGTGTCTGTCTCTGCCTCCGAGGGTCCAGAGGAGAGCACAGGATGCTCCTCCACATCTCAGTGAGTCTGGCTGTCCGCTTTCTGCCCCACAGGAATGGAGACGTCCAGTGAGGCAAGCAAACCAGCAAGCCCAGATACAAAGAGGATCGATCTTCCCTGTCCCATAGCTTATTCTCTGGGAAACTGGGAAACTTCCTTGGGGAGGAAGGAACCCACTCCAAGGTCTGGGTGGGTGGTCTTGGAAAAGAGCTGGGAGAGAGCTGGGGACGCTCCCGGGATTTTGAGATGTTCACACTACACCCCCACAAAAATGAGCTCCAGAGAGATGACGTGAAGGGCGTTTCTTAAAACCTAAGATAACAGCACTCAAGGGCCCTTCAGACCCTCTGGGGTCTTCCAGTACGAAAGGGAACCGGGACCCCAGAACGGTGGTTGCTTGGATTCTAAGCTACTCTGCCCTGCTCCCAATCACTCCCCGGCATTGGTGATGTTCCCAGAACCACCTTGAGGTACCCACGTAGGTGCTGGGCATAAGCTCAGCATGTTGGGAAGTGGGTCGTGTTTTCACTCTGGCACTAATGGACCACGTGTATACTGGGAAAGACGCAGGCCCTGGCCCACTGTGCACACACCCCCAGAGCCCCAGAAGACAGAGGCTTCTCTTACATCATCTTTGCTGTCCCTTCTCTCTGGGGAATGACGTGAGTGCCCGTTCCCAGCAGAAAATAGCAACGTGCACCCTGGGCCCAGTGACCACATCGTGTGGACGCCAGGGTTGCGCCGGCCCTAGGATGAACGAACACGTGTGAAGACCAGACCCTCAGTCCTGTCCTATGCCTGAGCCTGATTCAGCCTCCTGGTTCAGACAGACATTACTCACTCCACGCCGGCTAGTCCCAAGGGTCCCCTTCATGTTAACTTTTAGCTCAGCATTTTTCAGCCTCCTGGAAAGACTCTTACGAGAACAGAGGACAGCCACAGGGACTCTCCCTTGCAAGAATTTTGCTTACAGTATTGGAAAACTGGTGGACTCCCTGAATTCCTTGGTCCAAGACAGAGTGAATTATCTTTCTGGAATCCTCAGGCTTTGGGAAGCCAATGTCCATGTGTGGAGGGCCAGGGCCACACCCACTTCAGACTGGGCCATTCCAGGACATTTTCCACAAGTGGCCCTCTTTCCCTCTTCCTGTCCCAGTGGTTTCTTTCTAGGTAATTCTTTCTTCCAGGTCGGAACTCAGTGCTAAGCTGTTGTAGCCTAGCTTCACATCCAGGCTCAAATGACCCCTGGCCCCAAACTCATTTCTTCTGCTCCTTGGAAGCTGTTTCTGGGCCTCCTCGGTGGCATTCTCCTCCGTCCCCAAACCTGGCTCAGTGTGGGCTGTTAGCTGCGCGGAGCTGAGCCCCAGAACCAAGGCGACACCGGCAGAATTGCAGAGACAGTGGACTCTGAGAGCAGGTGGTCGGTTAGTTCCAGTTAGAGGAGACCGTGAGTGCCACTTTCTCCGAAACCTGTGAGGGCCGGAGTGAGAGGAAGGGGCAAAGGACCTGAGGAGGAATGTGGTAAGGCTGGGGAGCCTCCAGCTGAGGGGGAGTCGACCCCTATTTGCCGTTCCCTGAAGCTGGCGGCACAGAAAGCTGTGGGCTCCCCACCCTGGGCCCAGCTGGAGACTCTGGAGGCCCCCGTGTGGAGGGGAAGTGTTGGGAGGTTGGACTCTGGAGAGCCAGGGCAGAGAAGAGCATGGGAAGGTCCACACAGAAGGCCCAGGACCCGGAGTGGGCCAAGGCCCAGCAGAGTGAGAGCTGCACCCCCCTCCACTCCCCCCACCCCTCACCCCTCCACCCAGGGCTAGAGAGAAGGGTTGAGCTAGCCCTGGGGTGGCCCCGGTCTCCAAGTGCCTTTGGATGGAAAGCTGCTTAATCTCTCCCTGGAAATCAGAAGTTGGAACCCACACAGCTGATTACAGGGCCAGAGGAGGGGCTTAGGAGGCAAGATGAAAAGAATTAAAGTCAGCTCGGCAGGGAGCAGACAAGGGGGGCAGGGGGCAGGTGGGGGCTGGGGCAGGTGGGGGCTGCAGAGACTCACAAGGAGCAGGCAAGGGGGAGCTGGGGGGGGCAGGTGGGGGCTGAAGTTTTTGCAGAGGCTAGAGTCCACGGGGAAGGTCAGGCCTGCCACTTGGGAGCATTCTGTAGGGCAAGAAGGAGCAGTCAGATGTTGAGAGAGCTGTATGAGGGAACAAGAGGCCGGTCACTGAGGTCCTTCTGGAACCTCAGCCACAAAGACCTGGGCTGAAGGACAAAGACAGTCCTGGGTAATGGCTTTGTCTTGCTTTAAGCTTAGACTGGAGAGCTGGGACTGGAGGACAGCTGGGACTCTGGCAGAGAGGGTGGCAATTGCTCTTCTGTGGTGTGTGTTCCGGTCACACATGTGCACACACACCCAGGCGCGCGTGCACACACACACACCACTTAGCTATGTTTGCTTGCTCTCATATTTGCCTCATCTCTCTCTCTCCTCTCTCTCTGTCACACACACACACACACACACACACACACACACACACACACACACTTAAATAACTTGCAGACATATATTAGCAAAAACATTCCATCTGGGCTGGGATTTCTCTCATTGCTTTGAATTCCCCTGGGTCTTAACTTGAAAAAAAAAAAATAGGAAGAGGCAAAGATTTGACTAATGCTGGGTTAAG